GAGAGAGAGAGAGAGAGAGAGAGAGAGAGAGAGAGAGAGAGAGAGAGAGAGAGGCCTCTCTCGGGCTTCTTTGTTTTTCAATTTCTTTTCTTTTTTGGGCAAAAGAATTATCCTTTTTTTTTTTTTTATTTTTTTTATTTTTATGTGTGCCTACCGGTAGATACCGGTAGGCTGAGCCATGAGCCTTAACTGGTGGTTTAAGGAACCGTGATTCACAGGGTGGCGAAGATATGCGTCGACGGTGAGTTCCGGTTCTTGGGTGGTCTTTATGTGGTCCAACGGCATTAGCATGGACATGCCCACCCTCCAACGTCTTCGTAGTCCGCCAATAGCTCCCAAGGACTACTATTGGTGGTGGGCCTTCATCGGGTGGCATCGTCGTTTTCAGCCAGCATCATGAGGTTTCCAGCGCTCGAGGAACGTCCCAACGGTCGGAAAAGTATTTTTCCCCGGCGGCGCCTTCAGTACGTCCACGGAAGAGGTTTTTGCACAAGTGTCGTATTCCCGTGCATGTCGTCACGTGCTGCATGTCCGACAAGACCCTTCCCTTCGCCGCCGTAGTGTGCTAGATGTCCGACAACAGACATGGCATTGCTGCCCTCTCCACCATGCAGTTCATAGCCGACCAGTACTGCAGGCTCCCTCTGCTGCTCCACGTCGCTGTGCTGCTTCTGGTGGTCCCTCTTCTGCTCCTCGGCGCTGTGCTGCTTCTCGTTGAAGTAGTCATCTGTGGCGTCGTCTCATTGTCGAAGGTCTTCCCACGTTCTCCCCGGCCTGCGTTTGATCCACCACCTCGGTGCCGCTCTTGGAATGGCGCCGCAACCCAACTTGTAGCACAACTCAATGACAACCTCCGAAGTTGCCAGGTAGTCGGGGCCGTCATCCGCAGCTTGCATAAGCATCCTTCTTCTAAGCGCGCACAACTTCTCCTTCATTCGTCTTAGCGCCCTCCTGCTGACAACGAAGAACAACGGTTGACACGGCCTCCGCCACGGCTGCCAGCTGAAGTGGTGTCAACAGCGCACGTCCGCCCTCTCCGCCGCCCTTCATCGCCACCACCTCCACAGGGATGACGTCTCTCTGCTGCCGTTCGATCCTCGCACCTCAAAGACGTAACCTGCTCAAGTCCTCAAGGAAAGGTCCGAGAAGCTGCTGCCTTTCCGTGGATGTCGCCCCCCTGGTGGGACTGCGTGTAACGGCACGGACGACGTGGAGGAGAAACTCAATGGCGATGGACGCACCCGGTGCACGAATGTACACTGACCGGGAGGTGGCTGAAAGGGACACCGCCGCTAAGACCGATTCAGCCCTGCACCGTCTACGCGCCGTAAGCCGAACGTCGTCGTCGTCACCACAGCCGTAACTCAAATTTTGAATTTCAAATGTAGAGGTCCCCTTTTTTTATTTTATTTTTTGTGGTCTGCCTCATGCCCTTTCCCGCCTGACATTGCTGGACCACGTTGTCTCCACACGGACAAATGGACACCCCCGCCCGCGACCGTGTATTTTCATATGACAATGGCCGTGGGCACGCCACAAGGAAACGTTCTTGGGGGACATCCCCAAGGATTTGTGGAACGATGCCGCAAAATTCCCTCACAAGCCACAAGGAATTTTCCTTGTGGCTCAAGGAACTTGTAAGGAGTGTCTAACGACGCCCATACTCACACACAAGGGGTTTTTCTGGCAAAATCGCATGGTTTTCCAGTCAAACTGAAGCCCTGGAGGTGGCAAATGTTAGGGGTGGCAAATGTTAGCGGCCTGTGCCGGGTTGGGGGATTTGCAAGCAGCTCTGGAGGTGCTCACAGTTTTTTTTTTTTTTTTTTTTTTTTTTTGGATGAACAGCCTGGGGCCTCTACCGACAAGCCAAGCGTTACGCTTGGAGGCTGGGCTTTCGACCACCGTGCGGCCGGGGGTGAAGTAGTGGAGCCGCCGATTGCCCTCCACATCAACTGTGATGATTTTTTCAAGTCGGGTGAGCGTTTTTTCCCGGCAGACGGCCAATAGGATTTTTTTCCCCATTTTTTTCGTGTTTTTGTTGGCCACTTTTCGTTGGCGCGAAGCTTCAATAGCAACAATTTTTGACCCATGGGGTGATATCCAAGCTTCGCGCCAACGGATTTTCGCTTGGAAAGTCTGAAAAAAATGACGAATGGAAGTAATAACGGCGTCGTTTTTGTGCAGTGCCCACAAATAAGGGCGAGAAATGTGGTGTCAGTGCATTCCTTCCAATCGGATGCCAGTCATTGTTGTGGGCTCCTTATCAACGGGGAAAATAAAATGCAGGAAAACCGTTTTTTGAACTTTTTTCCTATTTTTCAAACACATTTCGCATGCCACACACCGTTTTACGCTTGGCTAGTGGGTAGAGGCTCCTGGCCTAGTGCTAGGGGTGCTGATAAGAGCAGGCACCGCTATCACTGTCGGGTAGGCTCCATCTATTGGTGGGGGGCAGCCCCTGCTGGAAATGGGGTCCAGCGTCCCTGAACAATGTGGTTGTTTGTGTGATCAGACATGCAATTGTGGATCGTGCAAGGTACCGGGGGCAAGGTCCCACTTGCACGGATTAAGAGATTCTGGCCGTTGATCTTTGCTATCTACGGTCAATCTCTCTTAATTCGTGTAAGTGGGACCTAGCCCCGGGTTCCTTGGTGGAGTCCCATGTAGAGAATTGCAGGCATCCATCCAGGGCTTTAGCTTTGTTTTGTTTTTTCCATTTCCGTATCGTTATTTTTTGCTCATCTACTTCCATCACAGTTCGAACTCAGGTCTGCATGTCAGTAGTTCAGGGTGTACTAACAGAGGTAGGCCAGTCGGTATGGCTTTTTGACTTCGTGACCGCAGAATGGGCATTTTTACACATTGCAATTTCGGAAATGGCAATTTCGCAAGTTGCAATTCCGCAAATGGCTGAGCCACGTGGAACCTGTGTGACCGCAAAACTCAGACAAAATGGCAAACCCGGGGCTAGGTCCCACTTGCACGAATCAAGAGATACTGACCGTAGATCGCAAGGATCCACGGCCGAAATCTCCTAATCCGCCCAAGTGGGACCTTGCCCCCGGGTAGCACAGGCGGCAATTGTTTTTTTGTTTTTCTTTTGTTTTGTTTTTTTTTTCCCCGTCGGCGGCAAAGTTTACTATTTTGCTACCCGAGTGAGAGCAGTCCCTCTCCGAAAAGGCCAGCTGAGGTAGTTTCCAGGAAAAACAAAAGCAAAAGACCCCCATGTCCTCTTTCGCCGAGAGGCCGACGCAACGGACCCCCATGTCCTTCTCCTCCAGACCAATCAAAATCACAGAAAATTCGCGGCCCTGTTTCAGCACCGAATGGCTGGGTAGTGGTAGGCCACAGGCGTGATCTGAAAATCCACTCGCAGATTATCTTCTTCCGTCGAATCGGACGAAAACCCACCTGATCCGAACGCTACCGTAGTGGCAAGAGTCGGGACTGAGCCCTTGCCCCATCGGTCCATGAACCCTGCTATCGGCGGAAGAGGAAGGCCAGCTAAACGTGCACGACCAGTCCGACAAACCACTGGGACCGGTCGTCCGAAATACTTCGTCGGTCGCAAAGCAAGCCAGACGGGGGGAAGGTACCCACGCACATAGCTCGTTCGTCTGCAGGTCAGGCCGGTAGCAACCCGCAACAAAACTTCGGCACACTTCTCCCTTCCCTCCCGCCCCCCCCTGCTCTCTCCTCCCCCCTTCTCTCCCTTTCTCTCTCTCTCTTTCTGGTATTTCCCATCCAGTGGATGTCTAGCTCAGTGCACACATCACAGTTCGGTACGGCTATTGGCCAATGCACCAAAACTTGTTGACGTGAAATGACCGTTCGATCATTCTCGGTCTTATATCCAACGGCCTTGCCGTCATACCAATCCAGTCTGGTCAACCAGAACCATAACCACAGGCGCTCGCTGACATGCACACATAGACACAGAGAGACAGAGAGAGAGAGAGAGAGAGAGAGAGAGAGAGAGAGAGAGAGAGTTGGGTCTGTGAGGTTGGGAGGGAGAGGGAAGATTGATGCACCGGGCCAGAATCCGCGGCAGGTGGAGGGGAGATAGAGCTGGGAAGAGGGGAAGCGAAGCGAAGGTGACGATTTAGAGGCGGGCCAAGTTGGTTTAGCGGGTCGTGCTGCTGGTCGGAACCGGGGCAACACACCGGGGCGCCAAAAGGGCGAGAGAGCAACCGAGAGGAGAGTGGTAGTGGTGGTAGTCGCCTTTCGTTGTCTGGCTCTCCCGCACACGACGACTACGTGGCATCTCTCTCTCTCCTTCCCGTAGCGTCGTTGTAACCATGGCTGCCACGACTGTTGCCTCCAGGGTCATAGCCCCTGTGTCCACGTCCGCGGCGCGGTCGTCCGTGTCCCGGTCGCAGTTCCTGGCAGGGCGGTCGCTCCGCTTCGCCATCGCCCCCGCTGAGTTTAGCTCTCGAGGAAGTTTGGTCATCCGGGCGACGTCGGACAAGCCAGCCAAGGTACGTGCTTGGCCTCTTCTCTCTTCCCCTCGCTTCAAACCCACGCATTACCCCTAAGTACAAAACACAGCCTCTTTCAAATGCTCTCCTCGAACCTCTCTCTTCGAAGCTCTTTCCCTCTTTCCCTCTTTCCCTCTTTTCCTCTTTCCCTCTTTCCCTCTTTCCCTCATAACGACCCTCTTTCCAAGGCTCGTTACGAACACACCCCTCTGAAGCTCGTTTCCCAAACCAGCCCTCTCTCTATCCGGGAGACTATCCCAACCTCTTGCTACAGCTCCTGACGAGCCGATTTCCTAAGCCCATTTCCAAACCAACCTCTTTCCAGAGCTCATTACGAACACACCTCTCCGAAGCTCGTTCCCAAACCAACCTCCGTCTGACCCAACCTCTGTCCATTCCAACCTCGTTCTAAATCTCCTTACGGGCCTCTTTCTGAACCAACCTCTTCCCTAAGCTCATTACGAGCCTCTTCCGTAGCTCATTCCAAGCAACCCCTCTGTCCAAGCCGACTTCTTTCCGAGGCCCACTACGAGCCTTGCCTTCCCAACTCCCGCTTCTGCATTAACTGGGGGTTCGAACCCGCCCGCCTTCACATTGATACCTCTCTCCGAAACCGAGCCTCGTCTTTCCAAGCCCGGCTTCTTAACGAACCGGCAGTTCTTCCGACACCCCTCCATACTGATTCCTCTCTCCGAGCCCGAATGTCTGTCCGAGCCTTTTTCCTAACCACCAACTCTTTCTCGTCGCCGGAATATGCTTTTGCTTTCCCAACCGCCGCTTCTGCACTAACTGGGGCTTCTGAACCCGCCTTCATATTTCATATGGATACCCCTCTCCGGACCCGAATGTCTCTCCGAGAGCCTTTCTCCTCTCCAACGAAGGTGGTTGCTTTGCTCAACCACCATTCAATTCGCCCAAGTCCTGTGCACAGCCCCACCACCCTCCTCCTCTTACATCCCTCCGGAGGTTCGGATATCGTTCCGAAGCAACCCATCGATACGATAACTTTTTCTCCCCCCCCCCCCCCCCCCCCTCTCCTCCTTCCCCTCTTCTGCACCGTTCCTTTTTCCAACTCCACACGCTTGCACGCCCTCAGCCACCACGGCTGTCGTATTGCGAACCTATAGCGAAACCTTTCCCGTCATCCGATTACTAACCGCAGCGAATCAATTCGCATTTATCACAAATCGTCCAGCAATGAAATGACGTGTTTCTCCATCCCTGCATCTTTTTAATCTGTTTGCTCGTCTGTGGTGTGTGTGTGTGTGTGTGTGTGTGTGTGTGTGTGTGTGCATGTGTGTGTTGTGGTATTCGCCACAAACAACTCCACAGAAAAGGCATGAGCGTGACACTGCGCGTCTCCGTCTATGGATGTTTAGTGCATGCAGCTCCATCCCCGCCCGCCCCTCTCCCGCCTTTCCCGAGAAAACAGACTCGGTAAGAGATGACGTACCGCGGCTTGGGTGTTCGATAAGGCACGTGGTTGACGTGGAAAAGCATGTGTACGATGCATGCATGCATGCATGGACTGGAGCACGTAACAGTCAGCCACACAGGCCGTTCCACGTCGTCACTCACACACACACACACACACACACACGCGCACACACACACACACACACACACACACACACACACACACACACACACACACACACACACACACACANCACACACACACACACACACACACACACACACACACACACACACACACACACACACACACACACACACACACACACACACACACACCGAGTGCCGCTATTGCTCGTCTCTGCTCGTCTTCGTCACTCGTTCGCCAAAGCTTCTCCTCACGTAACTGTGTTTGTTTGTGCGTTTTTTTCTTCTTTCTGTCTTTCATGCCCCCCGTCACCTGTTAGCTGACGTGCGGTAGCTGTCCATGCATTCACTTGGTTCGGACGTACCTGCATGCACTCCGCCGCAGTGTGCCAGTACGTGCAACGGCTTATACCCCGCTGGCTTTGGGCGTACGTGCATGCATGCATGCATGTCTCTCCCTGATCGGGACTTCTCAGCCGAAGGCAGCAGCTGATTATCTTGGACCTTGGCAACGTACGTCCAAGTCCAAGCCCAAGCCCAAGCCCAAGCCAGTCAGGCATTGATTAACTGCGGCGAGACCGGAGAATCCAGTGAAACGCGAGACCGTAGAATCCAGGGAAATGTACAAGGACAAAATGAGAAATTCAAATCGGCGCATAGACAATGGATGTGTGCTTCTTGTGTTAACGTAGAAAACGCAATGTAATACAATGAAAAGGAAAAGGACAAATGAGAAAGCTCAACGTAACGAGGAATTTGAAAAATAATAATGCTTGCGCAAAATGGTCACTTGAAAGGTGAATTTGAGAAAAGAATATAACTTCCTTAAAAAAAAATAAAAATGGTCACGTGGTTTGCGGTTAGCTATAACTGTTACAGTGGCGATAAAAAAAGAAAAGAAAAAGAAAACAGTTACGATGTCGGTATTGGTATCGGAAGCACTACTCTTAACAATATGGCCGCGAAGATAACACACGGCATTCACTCTAGCTGTGCATTTAGTACCACCTTCAGGCCAGATACGGGCATTGCTTACCGCGCGCTGTTTTCTCGCGACAAGGGTAGTAATATCCATCCGACAAATTTATTTATTTATTTATTTATTTATTTATTTATTTATTTTTCAAATTTTGAGAAGGAAACGAGGCGCACGTGGCCGGCATTCGATTAACCGATATCCTTTTTTTTTTTTTCTTTTTTTTTTTTTTGTTAATATCGAAGTTTTTCAAATGAGCCTAGTTTGTTCCAATTTGGTGAATGGTCAAGTTAACCACGGCCGGAATAGGAAAGTCGCGAGTTTTGGCGACGGCGGTTATTATTATTATTATTATTATTATTATTATTTTCTTTTTTTTTTAATCAGCGGTTATTACCTTTTCTGTTGTTGTTGTTGTTATTGTTGGTTGCTTTCTAATCAACGGAAGTGACTTCCTTCTTCCCCCGAATACAACGTACGGTCATTATAGCTGTATCTAGACTGAAAGATGCCTCAAATACATACAGCTATAATGACCGTACGTTGTATTCGGGGGAAGGAGGTAGTTTTCCTTTGCCAAAAAGACAAGAAGGGGTATTTGCAGAATAAGCGCGTTTTTGACGTAAGTGAGAAAGAAAAGGCGAGGGTACTCCCGCGCGCGCCGCTTGGTCTCCGTTGCGTTTTTGGCGCGAAGCAGAGGGTCTGGCGGGGGAGCTGGCAGGGCTCTCGAGGCGCCACCCTCAAGCGAGTTGTGACTTGGCGTGCAGCGGAGGCCCGGAGGGGATTGTGGTGGTGAGCTGGCACTGGCGGTGGCTTACCAGGCTTGGCGCGCAGCACAAGGGATGGTGCTGAGCTGGCAATGGCCTGTGCGCAAACGGAGGGAGGGCAGTTCTGCAACTCTCTCTTTGTTTGCAAACGGAGGGAGGGCAGTTCTGCAATTCTCTCTTTGTTTGCAAACGGAGGGAGGGCAGTTCTGCAATTCTCTCTTTGTTT